AATACTATAAAAAACAAATTGATGAAGAATGGTAAGAACATGAAACTTAATCTAATAGGCATCTAAAACTCAACATTTCATTCGTTTTAATTTGATTATTAAGTTAAACCTACAATTAAATCGAATAATACAAATAACTTTAGCAAAATTTAGTTTGATAAAAAAAGTTATTTAAAATTTATGATAGAACGAAATAATCATATTAATTATATATTAAAAATAGTTTAATCTTGTTCATATATGTTCAACATTAGTTTTTTTAAGATTTTTATTTTTTTTCTTATTATTTTTATTTTATTTAAATATTTCAACAGTATTTATAAAATATTAGAATATAAAATATATTTGAGTTGTTTACTTGGAATCGCGGCTTACGTGAGGAAGAAGTTGTGATTAAGAGTAAGTGTCATTCTTTTATTGTAAAGTATGAGTGAAAAATTTATAATTTAAATGATTCTACAAGTCGTATATACATGTAGATGTGTGTACTCTATATATATGCTGGTAGACAAAATGCATAAATTTAAGTTGGTTGTTTGCTATAAGTGTTAAAAATCGTGTTATCAATTATAATTATTCATATAGAACTAACAATTTAAGTATATTTCCTCTAACTTTTTTTTATTATCTATTCAATAAAGTTATTGCTAATATATTAATTATTAATGGGATTTTTCGGATTTACAGTGAAAAAAACTATTTTCATATTTATAATTAACTATAAAATCGATTAAATGGTGTTTAATGAAAATTTTAAGGAATCTTCATATGCTTTGAAGATTTTGTGTTGAGATTCATTTGTTAAGATTGTACACCAAGTTTTTCATAATTTTAAGAAATGTTCTGATACTCAATGTTGCAGTAACACTCAATAGTGATCCCAAGCTGATTTTTTAAAATAACACGGTATGCAAAACATAGATGGATTGTAGACAACATACATTGATCCTATCACTAGAAGCATGTGTGGGATTTTATAAAACTATCAAAGAGAGCACAAGCTATTGAAGAATTGTTTTAGAGATGTACACACACTTTAAAACAAGTATTAGATGGGTTAGCAAATACA